CACCCCTCCTGTTCAGGATGTTTGCGTCATCTCCCCCTCCTCTTCCTCCCCCCTCCCCCGGGCTCACTTCCTCTAAGAGGGCGCCAAAAAACTTTGTGGGCAGTTTTACATGAGCGGCTGCAGCAGCTGAACTACAAAGAGCAGCAGATCGGTGCGTTTCTCACTCATTTATTTTTTTTTTTTAACTCATTCTCTCAGTCACTTCCCTTGTTAACCCCATCTGGAAATATCAGAAATAGAAATATGGGTTTATAGGCGTATCGCGAAGTTGTAAGATATCCAAGTCTCAGAGTGGACTTGGGTGTCAGGGTCTTTTTCAGCCGGTTAAGGGAAATATAAAAATTCCCAAAATTAAAGTCTTTCGGGGCCACGTGAGAGTTTGGTACACAGGGGTTTCTTTTCTCCCTTTGGGCTAAGAACAAAGGAAGATCCCTCACTTTTGACAGAGGATGGCCAATGGCCAGTTAGAAAGAAGGGAAAACCCCTTTTCAGAGAAAAGAAACCTTTTTAGGCAAAAGCGAATATATTAAGCTTATCTGAAAAAGGTGGGATTTTGTAAAACTATAAAAATGCATGAAATTTAAACCCAAGGGGTCTTTTCTCCCCAAAGAACTCGGTGTGAGACTAGAGCCAGCGCGCTGAATAAATTCTTTTTTTTTGTTTCATGAGTTTTTGCCGTCCTTCTGAATTCAAGGGAGAAGTTTTTTCTCCCAGAAATACTTCTGGCACAGTCTTTGGAGGAAGAAACAGCTGCGAAAAGTAAGACTAAGAGGAAAATACAAGAGCACTTCAGTTCACTGAAGTTCTTGAAAAGCAGAATTACTCCCATTTCAAGCTGATTGAATGGTGACTGTCAATTCCCAGGGAAACCTCACCTTCATTCTCTATGTAATCTGTCAGCGAAACATCGGTCTTAGAGTAAAATCATCTGTGATCTTCAGGCAGAGCCACACCCTGAGTTAATCCTTGATCATCTCTGATCCACAGATTGAAGACACGGGGATCGTTCTCACCTGACAACGGGTAAAATCCAGCTCTAATTCTGAACTAAGACACAGTTTGTGGGCATTGAGCAGGATCTCTGCTTGTCTGAAACTTCTCAGTAGCATGGAAGCTCCATTTGCACCTAATTCCCTACAACACCAACACGGAGCCCTCCTATGGCAGAGGAGATGTGACCTTCTGGCAGCAAAGTAACTTTTGGGCACAGAAATGCTGCATTTAAAATTCAGAACCTGATCCTTCTGTTCATTTCCCTCCTGCAGGTGAAAGTTTCTCTGGCAAGAGGAAAAACAGCTGTCCTATATCAGTGCTCACCTTTCCTGACTCAGGTAGGTAAGCAGGTCTCTTTTATTTCTCTCCCTCCTGAAAAAGTGGTGAATGTGGTGGTATTCCCCCTCTGGAAAGGGCTGTTGGGCCCAGGGACCCCCTGGGGGCAGGGCCTTGAGGCAAAGCAGGGCTGATGATAACTCTGGAACCTTCCTCTCCGTAAGCAAGGCTGGTTCCAGCTGCGCCCACTTGGAACTGTTTCCTGCCGGAAGCTGAAACAGTAGGAAACTGCCCTGATTTTATGGGAATTTGGGATGACAATAACTCTGAGAGCACCCAGGGCTCAGCTGCATCTGCAGGAATGTTACTGAGCTTAAACTGTGTCCTGGTGTGTCTGTTCAGCAGTGCTGAACATGAAGCCTTGGGGGACAGAGAAACTCTGTGTTTGATTGTCGTGCTGAGATTTTTAGGCCTATTTTCACTTGTCTTCTTTTGAAAAGCATTCAGCTTGTTTGGGAATGTGGGTTTGGTCTCTGAAGTAGTAACTGATGACTTGTTAAACAGCGAGGTTTCTTTTGAGCCCTCCTTGGATGACAGGGAAATTTGTAAAAGTTGGATATAAAAAGACCATGACATTTGTCAGAAGAAGTATCTGTGTTGCTAAACAAGGTATGTGAGGTTTCAGCAACTTCTGGATGGAATTCATAGGTAAGATGTTCCAGTCTTATGACATTTTGCATTTCCAAGCCTCCAGCTCCTGATCTAGAGGAGAAGAGCTTTCTGCAAGTCCTGTGTCATATCTGCCCCTTCCCAAATGCCTGATTTAGTATCCAACCCTGATAATATCTGAAACAGCCCCTGACTGTTTTAGGTGACTGAGGAGCAGCCCTCTCATCTCTAATCAGGATTAACCTCTTTCCCATAGTAGATGTCTAAATTAATGCCTCTGACAAAATTTCATATGGCCTCATGGGATAATGGACTGCAAAGAACAAACTTAGTGCATGTCCAAGCCCATGAAAACAGGAGGAAGAGCAGAATTTAACAGGACAGTTTCCAAAGTTTAGTGCCAGTTGCAGTTTGACATTCAATGCCCTGAGCTGCCTGTGGAGTTTATGGACATGTGGGCCATGTGGTTGGTGGAACTGAGGCTGTGGTCATGTCACCCCAAGACCTGTGGCTTGCTGAGTGATGTGAGACTGTCCTGGTTTAAGCCCAGATGGCCACTAAGTACCACAGAGCTGCTCGCTCACTCCCTGGCCCCCGGCACCCCCTGGGCGGGGAGAAGAATTGGAAAGAAACAGTAAACCTTGTGGGTTAAAAAAATAACAGCTTAATAATTGAAACACATTTTAAAAATAATTAGAATAAGATTAATAATAAGAATTGTAATTTAAAGTAGAGAGGGAGAGGAAGATGGAGAGGGAGAGCGAGAGGGCGGAATAAAACCCACGTGATGTCCAGTTTTGCTCACCACCCACTGACTGATGCCCAGCCTGTCCCCGAGCAGAGATCAGTCCCCTTCCGGCCAACTCCCCCCAGATAATATACTGGGAATGATGCTCCATGGTCTGGAATATCCCTCTGGCCAGTTCAGGTTACCTGTCCTGGCTGTGCTCCCTCCCGGCTTCTTGTGCAGCTCCTCACTGGCAGAGCAGGAGACACTGCAAAGTCCTTGACTTGGGCTGAGCACAACTGAGCCACAACCAAAATATCAGCGTGTGATCAGCATTATTCTCATCTTGAATCCAAAACACTGCCCTGCACCAGCCACAAGGAAAAAAATTAACTCTATCCTGTCCAAAACCAGAACAGAAACCTCTGAGTGCCTGTTTATCTCCGTGTGCCAGAAACAGAGCTGAGATCAACCAGCTCAGAGGAAAAAGCCTCTGCTCTGGAGATCAGAGTGGAGACAAATCCCCATCATAGTGATCTGTGGTGAATTGGATGAAATCCCTCCAGGAGTCCATGTCCCTCCTTAGCAAGTGAAGAGGGACAATTTGTGATTAAAACCAAGTGAATTGAACACTTCCCCTGTCACTCCACTTGTGCTTACCTAGCTGGCCAAACATGGCAGGACATCCCAGGACAAGAATTAATCCAGAATTACTGATGTCTGCCTTGATCCACCACCAGGCCTGTTCCAACTGCATCTGATTTAGTCCCGTGAGATGTAGCTGTGAGACCTTATGGCCACCTTATGGCTGGGAAGTAGGGATGTATCCAGAACTGCAGTGCAGGGTGATTAACTCTTGCTTGGAAATCATCAGGGTGTCTCACCTTCCTCACTGCTCACTAACCATGGAATATTGAACACTAATAAAGTCATAAAGATACCAAACCAGAAGTGTTGCTATGAGGACTGAGATAAGGACTGTCAGGCCCACTCTGGAAATGTCAGAGAGCCAGAGCCAGAGAGGGGAAGGATCTTTAGTGTAGTGCAGCAAAGCCGACCCTGGTGCAGCTCCCTAAATGATTCCAGGTTTGTGCTGGAGCTGATGCGCTGTCACCCTGCAGCCTGAGGGTTCCCAGGGAGAGGGAACTTCAGGATAGCAAACACCATGGATTCCCCATCTCCAAATGTAGGCATGGCAGGGGGTAAACTGTGTCTTCCTTCTTTTCCCCCCAGCTCAGAGCATGGACAGAGAGACTCCTGCAACCCAGACCAGAGATTTAAACTGGTGTATTAATTAAGGTGTCCATCAAATTTCACAGCAGGCAGTGGGGGCTGGGTTGAATTTTCCTCTCTTGCATCCCCTGTCACAACTTCCTGGGAGCACGTTGGACTGAGAGACATTCCCAGAAGCTGCAAGGATAATTGAGATCTCTGAAAGGCACAAGTTCTCTTGATGTCTGAACTCAACTGATGGAGTGTTTTGCACCTTTAGAAGTCACAGCTGGCAAGTGCCAGGTGAGAGAGATCAGGGGGCTTTGGGACAGGATTTCCCTTCCTTGTCCACTTCCCTTCTGTGCCTGTTCCAGGTCAGCTGCAGGATTGTCCCACCTCTGTGACTGCAGGGATGGACCAGAGGAGATGGCTCCCGTTGGCTCTGACACTGCTTCCAGCCTGGTTTCTCCCTCTCTCCTATGACTTTGGGCTTTTCGATTTCCCCAGTTACAATTTTGTCTCAGAGGAAAGAAGAAAAGGAGAAAGTGAGTAAGTGCTCCAAACCACAATGAATTTATCTTTTATAAAAAGAACACGTGAGCCATTTTCAAAGGCCATTAATTCTGCTTTCCTAAGATTTTTCTCAGAACTGACAATTTCCCAAAAAGATCTCTGAGGTTTTTATTTTTTCCTCTGGCATTCTTCACTGATGAAGGTGCATGAACAGAAGGGACCAATGTCATTAGTGAATATTTGCAACTGTCATTTGTTCCTCATTGTGTTCCCCCAGTACTCTGTGTCCTTCACACCAGTACATTCTCTGATTGATTCCAGCCAAATGCTCACTCATGTTTGATTTCCACAGAAAATTTTGAGCTTAGCTCTCCCCAGAATGTAGTTGGAATTGTCGGCCAGGATACAATCCTTCCTTGCACCATCTCTTCCACAAAGCCACTGGACAACCCTGAAGTGCAATGGAAGAAGATCACAGATGGACATCCAGAGGACATCTATGGACAGTCTGGTGGGGAACCAGTGCAGAAATACCATGGGCGGACATCAATGCCAGGAGATGGATTTGCCACTGGGAACGTGTCCCTGACGCTGAAGAACGTCCAGCCAGCAGATGAAGGAATGTACAGTTGCACTGTGACATCCAGGGACTGGAGTGCTGACACAGCCACCGAGCTCAGCATTGCAGGTTGGAGACTCCCTGGGCTGGGAGGGGAAGGGGGGAAGCTCTTCCAGAGGGAAAAGAGCTCTCTGAAAGGTCACTGTCCCCCAGCTGATGCCCCTCATATGACCCAACATGTCACCTCCCCCCTCACAGCAGCCCTTGGGCCACATGGCTCCTGCTTTTTGATCCATGGGACACTTGTTTTCTAAGTCACTGAGGGGTCTGTAAGGAGCCAAGAAAATCCAACCCATGTGCCAACATCCAGGAGGTAATAGGGGAATTGGTGATCTGACTGGCCCATGAGGGTCATGGCAGCCCTGGTAGTTTTAGGCAAGAAAGAAGGAGCTTTAAAGCTGAATGTTGCAGGAGACACAGAGCCTGCACTGCCTGTTGGAAGGCAGCTGCATTGTGTGGTGAAATGGAGCAGGCAGGAATAGCTTGGTAAAGCTGCAGAGACTGGGGCTGAGTTCCTGTGGCAAGAGATGTTGTGCAAGCCCCATGCCCAGCCTGAACCTTGTTATGCAGCTGGAGAGCTGCAGCAATCCCTGCTGGGGAGGTGTGAGCCTCCCTGGGAGATTAGACAAGTGCTCAGCATCCCTGGCTGTGGGACTGATAGAATGGTGCCCTCCCTCTGGGGACTCCTCAGCTGGGCTAAGGAGATGTTCTGGGCTCCCAGTTCCCCCCAGATGGACAGTTGGCATTGTTGGTGTGCAGGGATCGATAATGTCAGGTGGAGCTGGTCAACCTGGAGTCACTGAGCAAAAATAGCACTGAATCATATCATGGTTTGGGTTGGAAGTGACCTTCCATTTGCTGCTATTGCCCAGGACAAATTTCTATGAAATCCAGCTCTGACCCAGCAGTGGAACTCAGAACCATGTGTGGTGCATCCCCCTCACCACCCTGGCACAGCTTTGGCACAGTCCCTGGGCAGTGACCATCTCTGCCCACCTGTAGTGCCAGCATGGACTGGGGAGGTGCCAGGGAAAAAGCTGAGTGGGCTTTAGTGCCCTGTGTCCTGCTTTGACAATCCTCAAACTTGGACCAGCCTCCTACAGATTCATTCTAAAAGAGGGATACAAACCACACACCTTCTCCCTGCCAGCTCCATGGGATAGTGGGGAGCTGAGAGACAAACCCATCCCACACTGTAGCTCTTTCTCAGCCAAAGGAAATTTGGCATTTATGGCAGATGGAGTGGGGGATCTCAGAAAGACCATTGCAAAGGTTGGGTTAAGGACTGAGAGAAAGTGGCAGCAACTTCTGGAAGAAGCAAGAGCTGTGAATCCAAGGTAGAGCTGGTTCCATGGAAACACACTTTTCCCACTCACAAACTCTCCTTTAAGGTACCGGGGAAGTGTTCCTTGAAATTCTGGGCCCTCAAGGGCAGGGGCTCGAGCTTGGCTGCAGATCACAGGGATGGTTCCCCGAACCTACTGTCCAGTGGGTGACTGAGGATGGGCAGGGTCTGTTTGCAGACACTGAAATACAGCAGGACAGTGAGAAACTCTTCAGTGTGTGGAGTCGAGTCACAGTTACAGGAGAGGAAGTGGGAAAAGTCACCTGTCAAATCCTGAACCCCCTGGTGCAGATGGAGAAGAAAAGTACTGCGCGTCTCTCAGGTGAGTCCCATCGCCCTGAGAAGCCTTTGCTGAAGGCTCATTGTCTCAGGAGCCCTGGAAGGCCCTTTCCAGTGCCAGGGAAGATGACAGCTCTCCAGTCCAGCCAGATCCCAGAGCAGCCTGGGGCACTGCAGGCAGGACAGGTTGCAGTGAGAAAGGAGCAGGGTCCCTCTTGCCCCAGATGCACATCCCTAGGGAAGGCAGGTTCTGCCCACCCATGTAGGACTGACTGGGACTGTTTGTCCCTTCATCTCCACAGGAACTCTTTGGGTGGGTGCTCAGATCTTGGGGAAAAGATTGAATATTGCCACTGATGACACTCAGATATTTTCTTTTCAAAGGTGCTGCTTTTCCCCGTGTGTCTCCATTTGTCCCTGCCTTCTGGACACTACTCACTTTATTCCTTCTCACATTGGCTGCTGGTGCTGTTCTGGTATTTCGAGGTAAGGGCTCTTGGTTCACAGGACCTCATGTCTTCAGAAGGCTGTGGGAGGTCAATCCCTGTGAGAAAGTTCTCTGCAGAACCTGCTCTGGCAGAGGGTGTTCTTGTGCATGGTAGAGGAAGGCTCTGAACAGATGGCTCAGGTGAAGTGGCTGAGGGTTTTACACATCACTTCTGGGGTTTAGTTTCACTCTTTGACTGCAAGGGATCATTTCTCAGCCCCTTGTGAGACTGGTCTGACAATTAGCATGAAATATCATGTAGAGTTTGCCTCTGGTCCGTAGAATTAGCAGACCTAAGCTCTCCTGCAGTTAGGAGCTTTCCATGTGCTCCTCTGTCATCCAGAGGCAGAAGGGAGATGCCTCCACAGGCAGCTGAGAGCTTGAGGAAGCATGGTACCTACAGACAAGAGGAGGGAGGAGGGTGGGTTGGTGGACTTTTCCTGTGGTGAATTAGAAGGTTCCCTTCCTCTGCCTCCACTGGGCTCATCCATCCAAGCCTCCAGTGGAGCTTGTTCATCAGAGCTGGACTTTTTTTCCCAAAAGTGTCCATGGTGCCTCCCATCTTGGAAAGGGCCTCTCCAGAGATCTCTGTCTCTGCAGCCATGGCTGGGCAGAGGGCTGACCCTTCCCTCGCAGCTCTCCTGAGCTCACACCACTTGCATCTTCTGAAATCTGCGCTGAAGCTGCATCTGAGCATGTGTCAGGAATGGACCTGGACCTGGAGAGTTCCCACAGAGGATGACAAACACCCAGGGAAGGATCACTGTGAGCACACAGGGAAGGGAGAACTGCAGGAAGGGAGAAGCCATGGCAGACGGGGGCTGTTGCAGACACCTCTGGACAAACTGGCTGCTCATGACTTGGATGGGTGGACTCTTCAATGGGTAAGAAACTGGCTGCTGGCTGGGCCCAGAGGGTTGTGGTGAATGGAACTACATCCAGTTGGGGCCGGTCTCTAGTGGTGTCTCCCGGGCTCAGTTTTGGGGCTGCTCCTGTTTAACATCTTTATTGGTGCACGAGGTTAAACAAGGCCAAGGGCCGGGTCCTGCACTCGGGTCACACCAACCCCCTGCAGCTCCAGGCTGGGGGAGGAGTGGCTTGAGAGCTGTTCCACAGAAAGGGACTTAGGGGTGCTGGTTGACAGACAGCTCAATATGAGGATTTAAAAGCCAAGGAAGAGATCAATCATGGTGCCCACAGGTGCACAAGCATGGGAATGCCCCATCCTTTTTTTTCCAAGGATGAGTGAGTTCTTTTCCAAGGACACTGAACTAGAAAAGATTCTCTGAGGAAAGAGAAGCTTGGAGCACACAAATCAGTAAATAAGAAGGACATATTAAGAACAGCCCTTTGGAGACAGACTTGTGAATGATGGTTGATGGAGAATTCACCATGAGCCAGCAGTGAGCACTCACAGCCCTGAAACCAACAGGATCCTGGGCTGCATCCAAAGGAGGGGGGCAGCAGGTCAAGGGAGGAGATTCTCCCCCTCTACTCTGCTCCTGTCAGACCCTGCCTGGAGCCCTGTCTACAGTTCTGGTGCCCCAAGAAAAGAAGGACATGGAACTGTTGAAGCAAGTCCAGAGGAGGCCAAACAGTTGATAAGAGGGCTGGAGCACCTCCCCTGTGGAGACAGGCTGAGAGAGTTGGGACTGTTCAGCCTGGAGAAGAGAGGGTTGTGTGGAGACCTCACAGCACCTTCCAGTATCTGAAGGGGCTACAGGGAAGGCAGAGAGAGACTCTGCATGAGGAACTATAGTAATAGGACACGGGGAAATTTAGATTAGATATTCGGAAGAAATTCTTTCCTGTGAGAGTGGTGAGATACTGGAACAGGCTGCCCAGGAAGATTGTGGATGTCCCAACCCTGGCAGGGTTCAAGGCCAGGTTGGATAAGGCCTTGAGCGACCTGGTCTGGTGGGAGGTGCCCCTGCCCATGGCAGGGGTGTTGGGACTGGATGATCTTTAAGGTCCCTTCCAACCCTTAACATTTTATTATTCTCCGTGGGAACTGAGTCTGAGTTTCTTGTCCCATCCCTGCACAAAAAAAGAAGGCAAAATCAAAACCATTTCCAGGTGCCCCCTTAAGTGCAAGCTTTGTTTCTCTGAGGTGGGGAGGGAGAGAAGGAACGATAAAACACACTGAGAAGAGACCCTCAAAAAGACAATTTAAAACAGAAGTTTTATCATCTGCAGGGCAGATGGGTGGTCTCCTCTTCAAGGGGGTAATGTCAGTGTCATAGGGATACCTCTCTTTTTTCACAGAAATGAAAGTGGTGGAAAATACCACAGGGGCCCTGGAATCCATGTGGAAGAGGGACCTCCATGAAGTCTCCCAGAAAATTCAAACTCTGCAGGAAGATTTCCAGAACATGCAGCAGTCCACACAGCGTGACATTCAGTTGCTCAGAACAGACCTGGAGAACAAACTAGGTGAGCAGGGCCATTCCCCAGCAAGGCCTTCACGTCTCTGAAGGCAAAAGCTGCTCTACAGGCAAACTGTCCTGTGAGCTCGTCCTGCACAGCTCCTCAAAGGGGATGGGGAAGGACAGTCCTTACATGGGGAACAGCTTTTGTGATCCTGACGCTGGAACACCTCCATGCTGAAATTTTCTCTGCAGGAGCTCAAGGGCCCTCTTCTCTCCTTCATCTTTGTAAAGAGTGTGTACTGTGGGTCCCCTCATTCCCTGATACTTGTTAAGGTTCCCCCTTAAAGTCCTGTCCCCATCTCTCTCCCTGTCCCCACTGCTGGTCCAGGCTGGGGGAAGCCGGGCTGTGCCCACCCTGCGTGTCTGTGCCCATGAGGAGCCCTCCCTGTGCTCCCCTGCTCAGCTCAGGGGCATCTCAGCGGGCAGTGCAGGAGGTGGGGCAGGGGAGGACACTGGCAGCACCCGGCACTCTCTGCCCAGTGTCTGGGGACCTTCCCCTGGGCGGGCACAGAGCCCATGTCCTGAGCTCTCTATGTCTCTGATATGTCAGAACGGTTCCCAATTTGAAGTCTTTCTTCCATGTCTCTCCCTTTCCCCACTTCTCTTCCTCATGGGAAAGTGTGTTGTCTCCCATGGCTCACAGATTCATTCTGGAGAGATGGAAAGGGGTGGTTCCTACCCTCCATCCTGCCCATCAGACCTTTGTCAAGGCCTTTTGGGAAGGGTCACAGGGCCTCTGCTCTTTCCCCAGCCCTCCATCAGTCAGTCAATCCAAAGCAGTTCAAAGAACCAAACAGGGAATAACCCCAGGCACCATTCCAGGCTGGGGGTGACCTGCTGGAAAGTTGCTCTGCCGAGAAGGACCTGGGGGTCCTGGTGAACAAAATGTTTTCCCAGAGTCAGCCATGTGCCCTTGTGGACGAGGACAATGGTATCCTGGGGGGCATTAGGAGGAGCATTGCCAGCAGGTCAGGGGAGAAGCAGCCCTGGTGATGCACATCTGGAGTCTTGTGTCCAGGAGATACTCAGGCAGTAGCTGGGCTGCTGCCTGAGGAAGGGGTAGCCTTGCAGGCAGATGGGACCAGTGAAAATACAGCTCCTGCCATTCTGTGGCAAAACAAACAGGTCTCCTGCAGGGAAATTCAGTTCCTTGTTTCCTATCCCTTCTCCTCTGCTACCAGCAGGCCATTTTCCTTCTCCTCAAGAATTCCTGCCTTGATTTCAATGATAGTTGGAGTTCTTGCTGCTAAAAGACAAAGCATCCCAGTGCCTCAGGCTTTGCTCTCTTTGGAGGATGGCCTCGGACTTCTCAAAGTGCTTCACAAGTTAGAGAAGCAGCGTGTTACTCCAGGAGAACATCATCCTTTTGGCCAACAGCTTGGGCTGACTGAGCACACTGGGGCCCAGCAAGCCTTGACAAATCCACTAATTGCCTGCTTCTCTCTTTTCCCACAGAGCTTTTCAAAATACAGTACTACAAAGAGAAGCATAGAGGATATCGTGCAGGTGAGTCCTCAGAGCCTGAGTGCAGCTCTCGAAAACATGTCCAACCCCCTCAGAGAACTGTTTGGAGAAGAATATGCTCAGATCAAGGGTAGTTTGATGACTTTTTTCCCTGCCCTGTGCTGCCAGAGGCCCTGCCTGTGCCTGTCAGGAGCATCTCAGCTGTGGGAAGCAGGGGCAGCCGGCTTGCACTGGCCACTGCAGCCCCCCCTTCCACTCCTGCTTTGGCCTCTGTGGTCTTTCAGGAAAAGTGTCTGGAGCTGATTTGGCTCCACTGCAAGAGCAGCTCCTTCTTTAAATCTGAGCAGAGCTAGAGGAGCTCAGTTCATGCCATTGCCCCTTGCTCTAGTCCTGCCAGGGGTTCTTCCCATTCACTGCTGAGCATGGAAAGCTGAGGCAAGAAACATTTTTGTGGCAGTGCAGATCACTCTTTCACCATGTGGCAGCAATATCTAGACTGGTGCTGTCCTGTTATTTAAGAGAAACTGCCTAAAGCTTGAAAATCACCTTCAGACTTTGCCTAGGAGTTAATCCTGACACCCAAAACCAATTGCAGCTGCTGTCACCTCCTGGTCCTTTTCCCCAGCAACACAGAGATGGAGGGAGAGGGTGTCCAGCCCCACAGGCTCCTCCTTGGGGCTGCCTGCTGGAGTCCCAGGAGCTCTGGCTGAGTGCCAGGCTGCCACTCTCTGTGACAGCAGCTCAAGGAAGGGACGTGGCGGGAGGGGAGGGGAGAAGCTCGAGGTGCCCTGAGGCTGCCCAGGGAACCTGAGCATTGAGAGGGGGGAAGGACAAATGGGAGGGGGATGAGGGCCCAGAAGAGAAAGGCTCAGAAAAGCAGAGCTTGTGTTTTCTGCTCCTCACGGCCTGACGTGACCATTGCAGTTGTTGTCACCCTGGACGCTGCCACAGCTCATCCCGGACTGGGAATATCTGCAGATGGGAAGAGAGTGGTAGAGGGAGGTTTCGGCATGCAAGATATCATCAGAGACTTCTCCGGCAATGAGAAGAGATTTGATTCCCATCTGTGTGTGTTGGCAAAGCAAAGATTCGGATATGGGAGGCTCTACTGGGAAGTGTCTGTTCAGGGAGGAAGAAACTGGGCCTTGGGTATTGCCCGGGCACCTGTGACTCGCAAAGGGCCACTGACTCTGAGCCCTAAGAATGGCTTCTGGGTCATCGGGTTGGCAGATGGGCGAGACTATTGGGCCTACACGGATCCTCAGACCCGTCTGAGTGTGAGGGGGAAGTTGGAAGTCATTGGGATCTTCCTGGACATCCTAGCCAAGGAGGTGTCTTTCTACCATGTGTACGATAAGGAAGCAGCTCTGTACACTTTTAGCATTGCTGATGGCAGCAGCCAGAGAGATGAATTCATTCCCTTCTTCTCCTTAGGCTCTGCTACTGCAAACCATGATCGTCAGGCTCTGGTAATAGTGTAGATTTTTGATGATGTTGAATAGTTTAGTCCACATTTCAAAGCTCAGTTATGTACAGCCAGTGATGAAATCCCATTGTAATCAGGCTGCTGCCTAATTTGTGTCTCCTGAACAAAGCTAATGAAGGACAGGACAGATCTCTCAGAGTGGTCTGCTCTGAGTTTTTTGCCTTATGGATCAGAGTGAAGAGTGTTTTGAGGGAAACTCTATGTGCTCAAGAAAAATAAATGTACTTTAATGTTTGTATGACAAAAAGTGGTGTGAGGGACTGAGAAAAAAGTTATTAAAATTATTACTGGCTCAAAACAACTCTGCGTGTGTGAGAGGGGACAGATCAGATTCTGCCAAGGTGCAGTGGTGCTCTGCCCCCATGAGAGCATCTCGTGCAGCTGTCAATCACTGGCACACCGGTAGCACTGCCCCACACCACACCCCAGGGGACCCCTAACCCAGATCTCAAATGGCTGGCAGACCAGAACCCCACCTGGGGGTCATGGCCACAGGAGTCCAGAGCAAATACAACCAACACCGTGAGGCCCTCCATGTGCACGGCCCTATCATTCTTGGATTTGTGTTAACTGGTTCTATGCTCGATCTAAGGCAGTAGCTATAATTCTCTCTCTCTCTCTTTTTACTTCTTAATTTCCTTTTCTTAATATTTGGGTAACTTAAACTTGGATGGGTTGGAATTTCACAAATCAATGCTTTGTGAAATGCTTTATGTTGGTTGAATGCTTCTTTTAAACTTTTTCCAAAATTTGCCAGTAAAAGTGTGTTATTTTGACCCCCTGAAAAGCTTTGCAGCATTTCTCCAGTGTGTGGCCTCAGGGTATAAAAGTACTGAAGGCCCTTTTAATAAATCTGTCGGGTGGATTTTTGAAACCGGGTACCTTTTGACATAAAACCCCTTCAATGAGCTCATGAGAAGAGCCTGGGGTCTTACAGGTTGAGTGTGAGTTTTTCTGAAAAACCTAGTATCTCTTTCCTGTTTGTCTATGAGTTGACATTTTGTTGAGGAGGGACAGTAATGGAGCAGCTTTGTGGGCACCTGGAAACCAGTCAGGGTCACCCCACCACATATCTCCACATGGCTTTGGAATGTCTCCAAGGCAAAGACTCCGCAGCCTCTGTAGGGAACTTGAACCTGGGCTTGGTCACTCTCAAAGTAAGAAAGTGTTTTCTGATGTTTAGGGGTACCCTCCTGTGTTTCAGTTTTTCCAATTGCATTATGTTCTGTCCCTGGCACCTCTGGGAAGAGCTTCCTTCAGGTGTTCATAAACATTGCTGAGATCCCTCCAAGCCTTCTGCTCTCCAGGCTGAACGGTCCCTGCTCTCCCAGCCTTTCTTCTGATGCCTGAAAAGCCAGAAAATAACTCTTTAAAACTCTTCTTGAGGATTAGGAAGGAAAAGCACTCATTTATTACAACAAGCCAGATGCAGAGGAATATTTTCCAAAGTGTGCATCCCAAACTACATAGGTGTTACAATTTTATACTGTCATCTAATGACAATATTTGGACATTATCTCACCTGTTACACCCACTTCCAAAACCATTCCTTTCTTAGTACCACCCTCAATACGCCTCCCAAATTTGATAGAGAACTCTTCATCTCGTTAAAATCCCTTTTCTATTGAAAATCTTAACAAAGAGTGTTAAACAGAACTTTTAGGAATTTTGCACAAAACTACTAGCTGTCTACAGGTACTAGCAAGCTATACTAAAATCTATATGATATAGATTTTAAGGCATCACTTCATGGGAGAAATCCTCCAGTCCCTAAGTCATCTGTGTGGGGATTCCCTGGACTCTCTCCACTCTGACTGTATCTCTTTCGTCCTGGGGAGCCCCGAACAGCAGCTGTGGCCTCTCCAGTGCTGAGCAGAAGGCAAAGATCCCCTGTCTCAACCTGTGGCCTCACTCCTCCAGTATTGCCTGGGATACCACTATCCCTTTGTGGGAAGAGCAGGTTCCTCAGCTTGGAGCCCAGCAGAGCCCTCAGGTCCTTTTCTGCCCAGATGTTTTGCAGCTGGGTGTCCCCCAGCATGTGCTGATGCCTGGCCTTGTTCCTCCCCACTACAGGAATTTGCCCTTCTCCTTGCTGACCTTGCAGAGGTTCCTGTCAGCCCCTTTTTCTCCAGCCTGTTCAGGCCCATCTGGATGGCAGCAGGACCCCCCAGCACATGAGCCACACCTGCCAGTCTGGGATCATCCTCCAACATGCTGAGGGGGCTCTCACCTCCAGACCTGAGGTGTGTGTTTCCTTTCCTCTCTGTGTCTGGTTTGCTTCAGGGTGGTTATTCTGAGCAGCTGCCACATGCCTGCTCACTCATCTGCCCCCTGGGGGCAAATCAGGCTCTGCCAGTGCTGCCTCCTTCACCCTGCAAGCCTTGAACTGGGATGGGGCACAAAAACCCCTTGTTCTCCTACATCTGTCTGAGAGGGACCATGATGGGGGACTTTCTGCTGCTGGGCCTTACACCCACAGCCCTCTCCTTTCCTCAATGGCACCGGGAGGGAGCTGAAATTCAGACACATTCAGCACTGTTCCCTTCCTGCCCTGAGCCAATTTCTTTTTTTTCCTACTGGCTCTGAGACCTTGGGCCAGGGTTTTGGAAAGGCTTTTCAGGGTGTTTGTGAGGCCTCCTGTGTTTTGTCTAGAGAGATGAGGAGCACAGGGAGTGATTTCCTTGATTCTTCTGATAACAAGGAATAATATTGATAGGAATAGGCAGATCCATCAGGTCAACAAGTGGCTCGGAGATTGGTGTAATTGGGAAAATTTTGTTTTTTTTGACCATGGGTTGATCGATCAACACCTGGTCTGCTGATACCTGATGGGATGCAGCAGTCTCAGAGGGGAGAAAGAGTTCTAGCACAGGAGCCAGAGGGATTGTTGACTGAGCTTTCAGCTGGCTTGAAAGGGGGAAGGAACAAAACCAGGTTCACCAGTGATGAGCGATGTAGTGCCAAAACTTGAGAAAATGAGCACTAATGGGATCCCTCAATCCGCTTCACGAGTACTGGCTGCAATGGACCACACCTGAAATGTTTCTACACCAATGCACCAGCATGAGGAACAAAGAGGAGCTTGAAGGTTTAGCCCAGTCTCAGAGGCATAAGTAGAACCCTGGTGGGATGAGCCCTGTGACTGTAGTGCCCTGTTGGATGGTTACATGGTTACAGGCTCTTCAGGAGGGATGGGCAGGGCAGGAGAGGCAGAGGGGTGGCACTGTATGTAATGGAAGGGTTAGAATGTGTGGAGCTCACAGTTGGCAGTGGCACAGTTGGGAGCCTCTGGGTAAGAATCCAAAGCAAACAAATAATGCCCATGTCACCATGGGAGTCCAGTACAGACCTCCCAGCCAGGACAATGACACCAATGAATTATTCTTTGAGGAACTAAGGGGCACTTCCAAGTCAACAGCCAAATTCCATGTCCTCCACTTGGGACTCCCCAGCCCCAATTGTCCTTTTATCCTCATGGGGACCCAGCAGGCCCCCCCAGTTCCATGTCCTCCAATGGGGATCCTCCTACCCCCCTTTTTGCCCCTGTATCCTCTTGGAGATCTGCCAGGACTCCCCATCCCCATGATCCACACTTCCCCCATGTCTCCCATGTCCCCAGTGTCTCCTGGAGGGCTGGAGAAAGTCTGGGCAGTGTTGGGACCCACGGGGACATCGATTGCCCTTCCCGGTGACACATCTGGCTCCTTGGCCCTTGTTGCTGTGCCAAGGCCACCACGAGGAAATGCCACTGCTGCCACCCACCCCTGCACACCATCCGGCCCAGCCCTTTAAAGCCTCGTGTCCCCTGTGACCCTGCACCCCCTCAAGAGCAAGATTTTGGTGCCAACACTCCCAAGAGGCAGTTCCCT